ACGAGGTGAGGATGAGGTGAGGACGAGGTGAGTATGGTCAGTTTTCTGAATTCTTGAAGAATGGAAATTGTTTGTAGATTATTTTGTTTGTAAAACTAACAAGTTTTATGGTGTTAAAAACGGTTGGCCCACTATGTGTGAAAGCAACTTTATGGGACTGAGTTTGTTGTGGCTCCTTGTACTGATGAAGTCCTTTGGATGAAGGATGAAACATTTCAAACAAAAAAAATAAAATAAAAAGAAAGAAACCGTCCAGAGAATCTGACTTAACTTTGTTGGATTTTTTTTACCTGGATTATTGAGCATGAACTTTGACGTTTGTAGATTTATCGTTTCTTACTTCTGGTTTGTTTTGTCATGTTGGAGAGGAGGGAGCAAAAAGGTCCCAGGTTTCCAGATGAGGGTGGAGCGTGATCCAGAAAGGGTGAGTATTTTTGGAGGGAGGAACAGGTTGAAGGTGCTCGGTAGTTTTGATCCAGGCTAACGTTTGGCGATTATAGGAACAGGATGATGACAGGGTGAGGTCACAAGCAGCGAGGAGGCTTCAGAAGACACGGAGGAGCAGGATTTAAAGGACACATGGATAATAACAAAGTTCATTTAAGTTACTAAAGAAATAAGTTTACGTTACCATGAGGTATAACGTTCCAGCGTCGGATGAATGTCTGGTTGGAGTTTAAATGCTCAAAAGAGCAATCTTCCAAATCAGGTGCAGGTGTGGAATAGTGGATAATTGAGATGATTAGCAGCTGTGGAGAAAGTGATTATAGCTGGGAACCTATAGGAATCCCACATTCTCGGTGTTGTGGGGTGTGTGCTGCTGTTAAATGCACAATAAATCACTGTTCCTGTGAAGTTTGAGGTATTTGTGGGAATGAACGCTGCCCTGCTGTAGGAGGGTGCAGCTGTCAGACAGAGGGGCTGTGATGGATTTGCAAAAAGGTTTAGGTAGGTGGTCAGGATCAGCTTTTCTCATGGAGGAACATTGTGCTGTGACAAGATGAGAGGTTTTACTCAAATTGCCTGTCATGAGTCAGAATATTGTGATTTATGACTTGTGATCCTCTGTATGGTAGAGGTTCTTCTGTGAGAACGAGAGTTAAAACAAAACTTCATAACAGTCTGTTCAGTTTATCTTCATCTGGAAAAGATTCATCTAACTCATCATCTATCTAAACATCTGTGAAAAGTGAAAATGTTAAACTAAAGATTAGGCCTGTTTCTCTTTTCTCATTAACATCTGTTTTAACGATCCAAAAATCACGTTTTTGGATCGTACGGGGCCGAGATGGTGTAGAGGCAGGGCAACCGGCTTGGGACCCGAGAGTCCCAGGTTCGATCCCCAGTCACTGCACATCACGTGGCGTCTCTGGGCAGCAGTCTAATCCCCAAAATGTCCCCCGGGCGCTTTCAATAGCTGCCCACTGCACCACCTGGTGGTGGATGGGTTAAATGCAGAGACTAATTTCGCCATTGTATGGAAACATACAGTGCTGACATTGTGATGACATTATTATTATTATTATTATTATTAAAAGCAGCTAAGCTACGAGCTAAGCTAACAGGCCGACCTCGGGGAAAAAAAACTCAGTCTTGTCGAAGCTCCAAAATTCACAGTCGAAACCTGCACATTCGTGTAAAAAGTTGATTTCTCAGCAAAAAGAAGCTGAGAACTTGTTTAATGACTTTTTTTTAATTTTTATTAAACGCTTTGTGTGAAAAATACTATACTAAAGAGCTCAAACCACATCAAGCGTCCGCCATTTTGAGAACCAAAAAACCGTAAGGAGAGACAGCCCATGTCACGTCAAGGGGCCTCCCTCCCATTTTTCTTAAAGAGACACGCTGCTCACTCCCTCACTATCCATCCTTCAGTTCAAACAGTCTTGTACTGCCATTCAGTTGTCAAAAAAGATACTACACTCAAAATTAACCAACATTTCTTCTTAAATATGACAATTACTAATTATTGTTAAATTTCAAACAATATTATCATTTATCGCAATAATTTCTGAGACAATTAATCACCCAGCAAATTTTATTATCGTGACAGGCCTACTAAAGATCAATCAATGCCAGTGCGTTGATTTTCTGGATAACAAGCTGCATAAAATCTTTTGTTAGTTTGTCTTGATAAATATCTGATTACACCCAAAGGTTCATTTCTGTCACGCCTTTTTGTTGCATTGTTGTCTTTGAGCAGATCTCATAAGCACAAAGCCTCAGATGCAGACAAACAATATATAATGGAAAGAAAGTTTCTCAATAAGCCATGCTCCGTATGGATTTCAAAAGTGGCTGAATTAATGCAAAGCTTCTGTCAGTGTGCATGAATATTTCATGTGATGATTAAAAACTAATGAGAGCCTTTTCCTCAGAGAGCTCTTCATTGTTGAACCTGAAACTTCAAATCTGGCATTAAGTGAAATGGGTGCACTGCAGATTATGACTTTTTTTTAATCACAAGAATATAAAAAGACTTCATCCACCACTGTGTCACAGACCTAATATGTAAGTCGTGCTGCACTAAAGTGTTCCCACAGATTACAGCATGAATCATTCAGGAGTAAGGTTAATCATGGCTGCAGGGAAATTAAGAAAAGTTAATTTTAGTTTTCAGAATCTTAAATTAAAGCAGACAGGATCTATTCCTTATGAGTCTGAGTTACAGCCAGTATGGTGTCCCATCACGCTCATCACAAATATGATCCTTTAAAAAAAATTCCTTTCAATGTGGAAACCAATTTCTGTCAAACTTCTTTCTGTGTTAACTTCCTGCATTTCATTCATGTTATGAGAGAGAAGTTGGTTCGACGGTTTCCTTGAATGACTTTTCCTGCAGCTCCGGCTCATTCATCACAAGAACAAAAAAAAATAAAATGCAATCCTGTCAGACTTGTCCTGGTGGAGCAGGGCCGATGACTCCATCTTTAATGTGGTGAAACGGCAGCGTTCTACAACAGACAGAGAGATGAGATCAGCAAATATGAACAGATACGTTCATGTTGAACATTTCAATAGACTAAAGACAGTTTGGGTAAATAACCCCAGAAAAAGTTTTTTTTTTTTTAATTATTATTAGGATTGCTAACTCCCCAAAACAACAACAAAAACCCAACAACTTGAAAGCAGGTTAGACTTGAGTAGAGCTATTGTTTAAACATACAGTATATGACCTCAAAAATAAAATGTGCATTATCAAAACTCTACCTAATGAATATTGCTCTTATTTTTTCCTCTGTGTGGTTTTTGCAGCAACTTTGTTTGCACAAAACTCGACTCAGTAAATTAAAATTAGAGATATTATTGAATCATTGTTTATGGGACAGCTTACATTTTCTTGGACTTTAGAATGCTGTATAGTTTTATTTACTTCTTTATTTGAAGTGCTCTGTTAGGAAAATATGGGACAATAAGATCTCAAATATAGGATGGAGCTAGGTTGTTGAGAGCTTTGTAGGTTAGAAGTGAGATTCTTAATTAAATTCTGGACTTGACAGGGAACAGACTGCAGGCTTACTCGCGGTCTCTAGAGTTTCCAAAAGCAGAATGAGATGAAGATCTTTCAGTTATCAGGCTCCGCTGTCGCCTTCATGCTCAAGATGAGAGTTTTGTGGTGAAGTTAAATTGAAAGCAGTCTGCTCCTCAGATAAATAGTGTTAAATTATTGTTTTTATATATGAATGTTGCTGTTCAGTGCCCTGAGATGACTTTTGTTGTGACTTGGTGCTATATAAATAAACTGAATTGAATTGAATTGGAACCAACTTCCAGTTTCTGTCCATGAGGCTGGCACTTTGTCCAGTTTTAAGACTGGGATTAAGACTTTCCTTTTTGATAAATCCTATAGTTAGGGTTGGCTTGTTATGCTGCTATAGGCATAGACTACTGGAGGACAAATGGATCTCATGTCCTTAAATGATTTGCTAAAATTTAATAGTTTTCATTTGATATTATTTCTATTTGAACACGTGAGTCTTGACCTGCCATTGTGTATCTGTTCCTACCAAACCCAGCCGGTCAAAGCAGATGATCGCTTGTCCTGAGCCTGGTTCTGCTAAAGGTTTCTTCCTCATGACAGAGTTTTTCCTTTCCACTGTCGCCTTCATGCTTGCTCAAGATGAGAGTCTGTGATGAAGTTAAACTCAAAGCAGTCTGCTTCTCTGATAAATAATGTTAAATTATTATATTTATGTATGAATGTTTCTGTTCAGTGCCCTGAGACGACTTCGGTTGTGACTTGGAGCTATATAAAAAACTGAATTGGATTGAATTTATTTACTTTTATTTACATTTGTGTTGTTGTTGTGGGCTCTTCTTGCAGTTATTTTTATTTTTTGTAACAAATAGTGGAAAACTGGAGACAAGCATTGTTATTTGAAGATGTAATATTTTATGCTGTTCGCTGTATTGTTTTTATGCTATTAGTGCTTAGCATATTTTTAGTTGAAGTTTTTCTTAGTTCATATGACCGTATTAATGTTTTTCTTTTACATTTTATTGTTGGATGTAACTGGGACCCTGTGTACATAATTTTGTTCCACCATATGTACCACATGCGGTGCGAACGACAATAAAGTAACTCTGACTTATGCACCCATTCAGAATAAAAAAAAATAAAAAAATAAAGATGGCATTAAAACGTTTTCACTTGTGTTAAAATGATTTTAATTCAGTAAAGAAAAAAAAACTTTTTTTTTTATAAAGCATTTTTTCATTATTCATCATAAAAAGTTTACAAATGTACAAATAATAAAAGAAAACGTGGCAGATGAGCAAACTCCACTAATAATAAATATATTATGACTAAAATATGTAAATGAAATGAGACAAACCCAACATATATTTCTTTTTTTTTGAATAACTTTCAAACTTATTTGAAAAAATATTCTTTCAATATAAATTCCACAAGTTTTTCTTTCAGTTTTGCATGTATAAAAAAATTATCCAAACATACTTAATACAGACTTTCCCTCCGCAGAACGCTGAGCTCGTCCTCCTCAGAACATGCTCTGCCTCTTAAAAACACTCAGTTTGGTCAACCATGTAAAGTAAATATAAGTCAGGCTCACCAGGATGTTTTTCAGTGGATACAACAACGGTGTTACAAAACCAAACACACCAATCAAAGCAACTCTTATGACAAAGAAAGGGAGATCCTGCAGAGCAACGCCGGCTAAACTCAACAAGGAGCTGTGGGGAGTTATAATCACCCGGAGAGAGGACAGGAAGGCCACGATGTAAACTGGGAACACCCAGGCTGAGTAGAACACTGATGGGTCTCCTGCAACTCGCACCATCTCTACAGTGTCCAACCAGAACATGAACCCCTCCACAAACACCTCCGACCTCACATCCTTCTTCCACAGGAAGCGAAGGGGACCCGAGTGGGTCAAAGGACGTGAGGATGACGAGTACAAGTAGGTGGCACCGGGTGGCCGAGCGTTGAGAGTTGAACGACTGGGAGAGTCAGAGGGATCCTGACGTCTGCTAGTGGTGCTGCCATTTCTGGCTTCCGGCTGGTTTGGAGTCGAACTGTTTGGAACTTGTTCAGCGTGCAGCTGGCTTGAAACAGTGGTCACCTGCTGCAGGTGGGTGAGGACGGGGCTCGGCATGTCAAGGTCAGAATCCAGGCTGTCAGCTACAAATGAAAAGACCAGAAATAAAAAAATTAAATCCATAGAATTGTGTTATGTTATGTAAAGTCCAGCTTCTACCAAGAGAACGGGGTCTTATAGACATGGCACAACAATAAGGGACATTTGATTGTTTGGTTTATTAGTTTATTTTAACAATGCTTAATGTGTGAATGCGTATAAGCGTTCACAATTGTGATCCATTTTTATTACGTACATTTTTCGTCGCGATTCTCGTCCCGCAGTTTTCAAACTATTTCAACAAATCATATATAAAAACGTTCAACTCTTTCGGGACAATCCTGCTATGACATTTGGTATTGGTGCAACTTTAGCTTTTTGAAACATTTAGCCTTTTCTGCCATTTTTTTTTCTCATAGAAAATGAATTGAGCTCATTTTACATCCTTCAGATCTGGAGCTGTTCAAAACCTTTTAATGCTCCATTCACATTTTGTTCTGGTTCAGCTTCTTTCAGCTTCCTTGTGTGAATGTAAACATTTTTCAGCTACTTTCAGCTAATTTCAGCTGTTTTTCAGCTGTTTTGTGCTCCTTTCAGATTTTTTCTGCTAACTACATTTTTGTGCTTCTTCTAACTTCATTCTGCTAATTTCAGCTTATTAAGCATCGTTCAGCTTATTTCTGCAAGTTTCAGCTGTTTCTACTACTTCAGCTACTATTTGGCTGTGTTATGCTAATTTGAACTTTTTCAGCTAATTCTGCATTTTTTGCATTCAATTGAACTTTTTTCAGCCTAATTCAGCAAAAATGTGCTCTCTCCACTTCCTTCTGGTAATGTAAGCTTCTTTTCATTTTTTTAAGCTACTTTTCAGCTGTTTTTTTTTTTCTTCCTGCTACTTTTAGCTTTTTTCAGACAATTTAAACTTTTTGTGCTCATTTTTGCTTCTTTCAACTTTACTGGAAAACATGTCTTTCTGCTTTTTTTTTTTATAATTTAAGCTTATTCTATCTTTGGAGCTAGATTATTAGCATTTTTAACTAATTTCTGCTGTTTTTAGATAAATTCAAGTTTTATTTAAAGTGATTTCTGCTACGTTCAGCTTAACTAACGTCTCTGTACTGATCTCAGCTTGCTATGTTCTTTTCAGATTTTAATGCTAGTTTCAACTTTTTCTGTCTTGTCAGCTACTATTTAGCGGTTTTAATACAAATTTTAACATTTTCAGATAATTCCACGTTTTACCCCCTTTCAGCTCTTTCTGCTTCCTTCTGGTAGTTTAAGCTCCTTTCTACCTTTTCAGCTACTTTTCAGCTTTTTTTTCTATGTGTTAATTCCATATTTTTAGCTGATTTCCTAATTTTTGTGCTCATTTCTGCTTATTTAAACTTAATTCAGCAAATATGTGTTCTTTCTGCTTTATACTGCTAAAGTAGGCTTAGTCTTCCATTTCAGCTGTTTTTCAGCGTTTTTCTGCCATAAGCATTCACACTGCATTATCGCAGGAAATGCAATTTCTTTAGTTAGTAATAAATGTTATGTTGAATAATCTGGATGTTTATTTTTCAGCAGTGCCACATTTGTTAGGAATGTGCATTTTTGTGTAGTAAGTTGTGCTCATGAAAAACTATTGTTGGGAAAATAATGCAAAGTGATATGCCAATAAAATAAAATGTTACAGAAACAGGTTCTAGGTTTACAAGAAGAAATTTGTGCAAACTGCTTCCAGAGTGCATGCAAATAATTATAATTCTTGACAAGCCCGATCCTTACATTTGCCCATGAGCCTGCGAGGTCGTATCCTTTCTATGATATCCACACAGATGAGCGAGAAAAGCACCAAGGAAACGGGCAGCTCAGAAAAATGATGGCGCTTGATTCCCTTGTCCACCTGGACCTGCAGTTCAACAACAGACACATCAGACCTGTTCATTGTCAGATTTCTTTTCAGTTTAGGAGTTAGCTATTCCTGATTTTCTGTTGCAGCACATTTCGTAGACCTGCGATTGAAAATTTATCACCAATGTGAAACAAACTAATTTACAGTTTGGACTTGGTGGAAACAAATATCTCTTATCAATGCTGCTAGCCTGGTGAGAAGGACGAAGACTTTGTATCTCAGAAATGTGTGTTCAGGTGGATGTTTAGTAATTTAACTTGGTCATAGTAAACAGGAAGAAAGAAGAGAAACTCGTCATAATGACTTTGAGTTTTAACAATCCAGGTTTTATTAGAAATAACTGCCGCTCCATGATAGATGAGCTGCAGTAAAATGAAGTCCAGAAATGTTAGAGGTATTAATATATTTCAAGTCTTTGCATCCAGAATGTTTGTATTCTGTCTGTCTCAGAGCAAACTAACAAAAGACACAGTGTAATGTGTTGGTAAAAGTTTATTTAAATACTGTTAGAATAAAGTTTGGGTTAATGGCCAACCTGTGTTGATCGTTGTAAGTTACTGAGTATCTAATTCAAGCAGCAAAGTCTCGTGATGGCATTTAAACTGCCCTCTTCTTTAAATTATAATGGTGCTGAAGTCCATCTCAGTGCCAGGAGAGAAAATCGTGTTTTAAGTCGATGCAGTTGCAGTGGCTGCGAGAAATGTAGCACAACATTTATCTAGCAACTATGATGACATCATCCTTCCAACAGCAACGTTTTAGAATAAATACTGTTAAATTCAGAAGATTCTGTGATTTTATTTATTTTATATATAAATATAAAAAACTGGGAACGTCTTAAAAATCATTTTGTTGTTTTAATTTGAACAAAACCCCATGAAAGTTAAAAAAAAAAGATTAGATACAAATAAACGGTTCTGCACATCCACGATTAGGTTTACTCTTTCATTTATCATTATTGTGACTCAGATCCAACTTCACACTCTTTACTTATTTTTTCTACTATGTGAGTATTTGAAATAGTCCAAATAGCTTTTTTCTTGTAGCTGTAAAAGTACAGTCAACCTTATGGCAGTGTTATAAAACTAAAATAAAGTGTAGGACACATTCTTTCTGTGTGAAACTTGGATCAAAACCAGCTGAAGCTGTGAAAGCTGCTTTTATCAAACAAACTCAAAGAAAATGGAAATATTAAGAGATATATTTTTTATATTTATAGGTAATACTTTTTGTTATGCAAATGGGGTCTTAATGTGCATGTGTGCCACAGATGGGATGTTTAAAACAAATATGTCCCTTGTCATAGACCGTACTGGAGTGTGACAGAACAAAACATCTACTGGTCCACCTCAGTGACAGGATCAACCAGTTTCAAAGGCAGTACCTTGGAGCTGGCTATCAGAATGGCAAAACATGGGAAAGTACACAGGATTAGATACACCAACGCTGTTGGTCTCCTGAAAGACAAAAACACATTTATTAATATCAAAATACATGAGCAATAATCCAGGTAAAGAATCCAACAAAGTTAAGTTAGATCCTCTGGATGGTTTCATTTTTTTGTTGAAACGTTTCGTCATTCATCCAAAGGACTTCATCAGTCCGAGGATTCACAACAAACTGTCCCATAAGCAGCATAACGATCATTTGAACATTACAGTGTTTTGCTCTACTATCTCGTCATTATTGAGATGGCAGAAAAAATGTGGTGTGCATTACGTACACCAAGTCCTTCACCATACTTCATCTACGCTGGAGTTGATTGAGCTAATATTTATTTAAACCTAGTTGGTGTTCACGGTGGCTCAGTTGGTAGAGCTGCTGCCTCTGTCGGCGGCTCAAATCCTGGCTGGGAACCTTTCTGGGAGTTTGCATGTTCTCTCCGTGCATATGTGGATTTTTTTCCAGGTACTCCGGTTTCTTCCCACAGATCAAAAACATCCATGTTAGACTGAGTGGTAACTAAATTGTCCCTATTGATTGAAAGGGAACGGTTTTGTTTCATTTGTCTCTATGTGTCTCCGTGATGGACTAGAGACCTGTCCAAGGTGTCCCCCGCCGCTCTCACAGTGACTGCTGGATATGGGCACCAGTGACCCCCGCGACCCGGAAAAGAAGAAGTGGGTAAAGATAACTGCTGGCTAGCTAGTTGGTGTTATTTCTTCATAAAAAGGGAATGTTTTACTTAAAGTGTATGTAGATTAAAAACATAATTTTGCACATACATTCATAAAAATATAAAAATTAAATATAGCGCTAATCAAATGAAATTATTATAACTGCTAAATGTGCTTTTACTTCTTAAATTTGAGCAGATTGTCTTAGCATGACTAAAACAAGCCTTTAATTAACAACAATTTCATGTATTTTGCAGTTTTGCTGCTTTCAGTAAAGTTTCTCACTTGATACAGCTTTAAATATACAAGGTATGCACCAAATACGTACCCAGTATATACCAGATAAGTACCCAGTATGTACCCTGTATGTACCAGGAAGAAACCCTGTACATACCTAGTAAAGAAGCAGTTATGCACCCCATACAGGGTTGTAATTGTATTTTTACATAATCTCCGGTTGGTTTTAATTCAAAGTGAGACAATCAGAGAAATCAGAGTGAACTTACTGAACTCACCACTGAGAGATCTCTGTGATGAACCTCCGCTGCTTCAGGATCACGTATTTGAGAGGAACCCACACCAGCAGGGTCACAGAGGTCACGTAGGCGATCGAGACGGCCACTACAAGCCAGTACGCAGTCACGCTGTGCCCTTCCATGTCCCGCATGAGCCTGGCGAATCGCTCCATGATCACAAAGATGGGCACGACGAGAGCGGCGAACTGCAGCCCCTCATACACGATGAACTTTATCGTCTTCCCTGAGAGCATGATCCCTGAACGCTGGTGGCTGCTCTGAGCTTAGAGCAAATCATGTCCCTCCAAACGAGCCGGTTAGGATGTTGGACTCTGCACACTGCTTACTCTGCAATGTGGGCTGTATTGTTTTATTGCTGAGCTAATGAGGTGGTCACGCTCGTGTTTTTATAGCCACAGGAAGAAGAACGATCCCATCTCATAATTTTAGGGATCGTTTTAAGCTTGAATTTTACACGAGCTTCAAAAGGACTGGTTGCATTGCAGTCATCCTTGTCTTAGCAGATGTTTTACAGATAAACAAACAAAAACAAAGAATGACTTCAACAAAATAAAACTTTATTTCATAGGATGCTATAACAGCAACAGAAATGTAAAATGAAACCTCATGGCTCCCCAGTGTACCGTCCATCCTGCAGCTGTGTTCACACAAACACACATCTCCATCTAGAGGAGACAATAAGAACAGCTGTCACAGCTGAAAACCTTCAAGTGAACACACCAAAAATTCTTAAATTTGTTTTTTTTTTTATGTAAGAAAATTTGTATTTTTTAGCATTATATCTAAACATTATCAAATGTTGGGCTGTTTTCACTTTTACCTTTTAAAATGAAACATAACGTTCATTTGTAGTCCGATAATGTGATGCAAGAACATGAAATATTTGAAGATACTCACCACAAGGTCCTGAAAACCAATAAAAATTAATTCATAAAGTAATAGACAAAATCTGCATAATATTTGTTTATATCACGTGTCTTTAAATAAACATATGAACGGCTGACAGTTTGTTTATCTGTGGAAACGACCAGAGTGACTGAAAACAGGTGAGCAGTGGAGATTCATGGTTCTAAGGAGTCAAACAGTTTTGATTGTTTGTGTTGGTACAAATTTATGCTTATATTTGTTAAGTAAAATATACAAATAAAATGGTTTTGCTTACATCGAGTGCTGATTCACCTTTTAGAATTGCACAACATCCAGGATAACATTTTGTATGTTTGATTTCATGGCTCAGTTCAGTTTATTTAGCGCCAAGTCACGACAGAAGTCATCCCAGGGCACTGAACAGAAATATTCATAGATCTAAAAATAATTTAACTTTATTTATCTGAGGAGAAGACTGCTTTGAATTTAATTTCATCACAGACTTTCATCTCGAGCAAGCATGAGGGCAACAGTGGAAAGGAAAAACTTCTGCAATGAGTATCTTTAACGGATTCTCACTTTTCTGATTGAAATGTTTTAAGTAAAATGTTTAGTCAGAATATTGTTTGTGGAAAACACTTAATAGACAAAACAAAAAAACTAAACCAATACTGTAACATCTGAGAACGGAATGAATGAATGATCTGATAAAATTGAGTGAGCAAAACAAAAAACACTTCACCTTTTGCCAGATTTTGATTTATCCATCCAGCCACCATCTTTACTTGCTTTTTATTTTTATTTATTTTTTGGTGGTCGTGGTGGTGGTGGTGGTGGTGGGGGGGGGGGTTTGCAGGGGCACTGGTGCTCATATCTAGCAGTCACTGTGTGGTGGGGGGACACCCTGGACAGGTCGCAAGCCCATCACAGGACCACATAGAGACAAATGAGACAAACAACCATTCACTCTCTCTCTCTCACACCTAGGGACAATTTAGAGTTACCAATCAGACTAACATGCATGTTTTTGGACTGTGGGAGGAAACTGGAGTACCCGGAGAAAACCCATGCATGCACCGAGAGAACATGCAAACTCCACACAAAGGCCCTCGACCGGGATTTGAACAGGGGCGACCTGCTCGCTGAGAGGCAGCAGCTCTACCAACTGCACAACCGTGCAGCCTCGTTAGAGAAATATAATGCAAATGATTACTAGTTAAATAAATACTTTCAAATTTTTGTTTTTTCATGTTGGGCAGCACGGTGGCACAACTGGTAGAGCTGCTGCCTCTCAGTGAGGTCGCCCCTGTTCAAATCCCAGTCAGGGGAACTTTCTGGGTGGAGTTTACATGTTCTCTCTGTGCATGTGTGGGTTTTCTCAGAGTACTCCAGTTTCCTCCCACAGACCAAAAACATGCATGTTAGGCTGAGGGGTAACTCTAATTTGTCCCTAGGTGTGAGAGAGAGAGTAAGTGGTTGTGTGTCTCTGTAATGGACTGGAAACCTGTCCAGGGTGTCCCCCACCTCTCAAACAGTGACTGCTGGATATGGGCACCAGTGACCCCCGCTACCCAAAAAGGAAGAAGCAGGTAAAGATGATGGATGGATTTTAAGATTGTATCAAAAGTCACAACAGGGGCAACTTTTCTCAACTTGAGATAATTGTCTATTAATTTAGAAAGTGAGAAGCGTTTCCATTCTTTGCAAAACCGACGCCCTGTTCATTATTTCTGAAACGCATATTATTTATAGCATGTCGACAGGTTATCTATGCTGCTGACTAATGCACATCGAGTGAAGACTGATGGCTCTCAATTTAAAGTAAAAACACTGTTGCCGCAGCAGACTCAGGCTCGACCTCTTTCAAACTAAAATCCTACAAATCTACATTATTTCTCAGGTTTGAGACTGTATGTGATGTCTTTGTTGTAATTGAACGGGCTCATAACTGAGGCCTCACACTGAAGCTTAAAGAACAGGACTGATGGACAAATAAATTCTACAATGAACACATAAAAAACAAAGCCATGCATTTTACTCTGTACACTTGGCCTGGTTTTATTGTGAATATCCATTAGATTTGGTTAAAAGAATACATAGAAACAGCAGAGTACAAGTTTAGACAGAAGTGTTACAATAATGTTGAGAAAACTTAAAAACGGGCAGCGTGTCAACCTCCTACAGAAAGAAGTTACATGAGGGCTGCAGTCCAACACAAGGTTTCATTTGGATCACATGATTAGAGAATGGCCTCCACGTTTCACCGTCCTGTAGTATCTGCTACTTTGATATTTTTGACCCTTTTGAACTTACACAGTACTGTGTTCTGAAGGCAGCAAAATAATGACTCACCAGCTTTGACTCAACTACATTAATGATTAAAGCAAATTTTCTAAACTGTAAAATCCCAAATACCAAGCTTAATACATCAGAAGATGCGTCATGTTCTCAAGGCGGTACAGGGATAAGATGTAACACAAAACAAAATGTTCGAAGAAATGAGTGAAAGCAAAATTCTGTCAAATGAGCACTGACATTTGCCACAACTGCTGATATTCACAAGTTTTAAAGTCCTTCGTGAAGCATCCTTCAATAATATATACACCAGTTTTATTAACTTATTGCATTCCTATCCGTTTTTCTCTTTTCTAAAGATCAACTCTTTCCCAAAAACTTTCAACATGTAAAAGTCATAAAAATTACTCAGAACCAGAAGTACACTAAATGCAACATCATATGCAGGATGAGAAGAGGCCATCTGATCTTAAATGCCTCACATGTCACTTTAGGCTAGAGAACAAAATTCAGTAGAGTTACGCGTTTTGTTTTTACATATGCTCTTTAACGGACTACAATCACAACAGCCATTTTCAGTTCTGTTTTAGTGTTACTGCCGGTCTGAGAAAAGAAAAAAAAAAAAGAGTTGGGATTCAGTCAATTCAAACTTTAGTCCTACAGTACATTAATCATGGCAGTTTAAATAAACAACTAAATTAGGCAGAATATCACACATCCTTCTGTTCTCTGAATACATACAGCCTACAAAACTTCATTTAAAATATAATAAGTATAAATTAGAACACACTACGCACAAGAATTAACACTTTTCAAAAATGATAAAAGAGGTGTTTAAAGCAATGGTTCCCAACACTGGTCCTTGAGGAACACCATCCTGCAGGTTTTAGTCGTTTCCCTGCTTTGGCACATCTGATTTAATACATGGGTGATGAACAGGAAGTAATTAAACCACTGAATCAGGTGTTGGAGTAAGAAAACAACCAAAACATACAGGATGGTGTTCCTCAAGGACCTGTGTTGGGAACCACTGGTTTAAAGACACTTGAGGGACAGAGTTCTCCTCTTAAGAGTCAAGTTGCATATACTGTATGTTGGCACAGCTCTATTAGGGACAGTGAGTTGCATTTACATGAGGTGAAAAAACACTCAGGTTAAAACTTTGCAGTATGAAAAAGAAGCAGCATCGTTGAAATAATTTTTTTTTTCCCCCCAGATATGTGTGGATAGTTACATTTCCATCTGACTAGGAGCATGCACTGACTGCAAACGGGACGCCCAGAGCTGTGCCAACATACAGCCCACATACTGAGGTCATCGTGTGGCGTCACTACGACTTTAGTACAGGTATTTACGAGTGACACTCGTGCTTCAGTCCCTCTCGTCTCTTTCCCCTCCAGAAAAACAAAGTGGCTTCAGTTCTCAGTACTTCGGAACGTTGATGATGTGTGTAGAAGGTAGAAGAAAAGTCCCGTTCAAAAACGCTCTGTTTTTGATTTAAAATAAAGTAAGCACATCTTATTGTAACATGATTAGCAACACGGTTGGTTTTAGAGGCTGAAATGACCGTAGACTGAAGTTAACTGTATCTTTATGTGTATTTTTGCCTATTAAAAATCCAAAGTGCACCTAATGCCAGTGTTAACCTACTCTGTTTGCGAACTTTAAATCATCTGTTGCCTCATAATATTAAAAAAGAGAACTATTTAACCGAGTGCGGTTCGTGTGGGGTTTTTCTTTTCCTTTAATGTAGAGTATTCAGGATGCCCTATAGTAAGGCTTTTTCTGAGTAGGGAGCATGTGGGGCGTCTGAGGGAGGTGCTAAGCTTGTGCCGGTGTGGGCGCTGTAGTTTGGCGTCTGCATCATGCCTGCAGGTGTAGTGCACGGTACGGGGACTGCGGTGCTAGCTGGATTCGGGTAGGAATGAACATCTGCTGGGGCCATGGAGCCAGGAGCTGCAGAGTAAACCGGCGGCTGGCCCATGTACATGTGGCCGTCGCTGTGAAGAGTACAGGGAAAAGTTCTTAATACAGTATAATTACTTAAAAAAATAAAAATACATAAAAGAAGAGGCATGGAGTTAAACAGTTTTGACAGCTCTGTTATTTAATGACATAATCTTAGTGTGAAAGAATGAAAAAAAGAAAGTAACAGCTACTGAACTAATTTTAAGTTATTGGGTTATTTAGCGACCCCGATGCTCACACTGGGGGCTTTAAAGGACCTTTCTCATAACTATAAGTATGATTTAGTAGCTTATTTTGTGCACTTTTAACCAATGACACCTGCAGATGGAGTTCAGCTGTTATGTTCGGATCCATCTGAAGCACAGACTGTTAGAAAAGTCTCATTCTTTTTGTTCATCTAACTCATTGGAACAGCTTTTTTTATGTTTTACTGTACTAAAATCTCATTTTAACTGCCTCAAGATTTTATTATTTATGGTACAAGCATTTTATTATCCATATTTTTTTAGGTCACTGTCCCCATACTCAGAAACTACTTAAAAATGTTTTTTAAGTAGTTCAGAAAATGGGATAGTTTGTATCAATTTATGATACAAAAAAGTGAAAGGTGGACATTTTTTAATTATGAGAAATTATTTCAATATTAAAACTATACTAACGTTGAACTAGTGGAAAACACACAAAAACATTGCCCCAAAAACCAAGCAAAAGGTGACTAAACTAACCCTTTTCAAATACAATGGAAAACTTATAAAAACAAAGGTTTGAGGCTGTAAGGAATAAAAATCTAAATAAAAAAATTAAGTACAGTAAAAACCAAAGAGTCTATAAACTTAGAATTATCAAGTGAGACTATCAAAGAAGATTTTTTTTTTTTTCAAATGAGAGAATAAAGTTTTTTAATCAATGGAAATTAGTTAATGCTGAAACACCAAAAAGACTAACATTTATCTGGAAGCTAAAGATAATAAAGGTAATGTTTTAGTGTATTAGGAAGCCAAGAAGTCTGAGAATGTAAAACTAACCTGGGAACTTGCTGAGGAGGAATCGGGGTTCCAGGAGGAAGCTGCTCCACAGGAACAGTATAACCTTGAACCCCAGTACCGCTCATGGCGTATGAACCCGATGTAGGCTGACCAGGGTAGACCTGCAAACACATGCAACACACACAGGCACTTGATAAATTACTGAGTCACTGTGGAGTAAAGTGCTATCAGTTGTTCCCCAATCACTGCAACATTTCTGTTCTACTTAAAGTCAACTATTAGGATTAGAAACATATTAGATCCACGACAAATCGACTTTACCTGCTGCACCGCACTGGCAGGCTGCTGCATGTAGTACTGCTGGCTCTGCAGCTTGGCATACATGGCATAGACTGGATCGTCATTCATCAACTTTGCATACAAAGACAAAGCTTCCATCACCTTCACGTTCAGCTCTGACAGCTCAGAGTGCTTCCTGAAAACATAAGACCCAAACCTTAGAACGTTGGCACGCTCTCAGTGTATTTAGCTACATCTGCCTGTATATTTAAATTCAAACGTTTTGCTTTCAATTTAGAAGATTTTATGGTTTGAACTGAGCTAAACGGGTCACAACACAAATGCACCTGTCTATATCCTCCAGCTTCTGGTCAATAAGGGGTCCCATTTGATTACAGGCACCTGATGAACAAAAATATTGTCAGTGCAAACAAAAATAAATAAATAAATAAATAAACAGTTCACATCTGTAACTTTCTAGTTTTTCATATTTTGCATTTATATAGTAAATTCAGTTAACCTTCCAGCTGTAGTAACTCAATACTGTCCGACTGGTTGTCTGTTGGATCTGCACTTTGGATCATCTGCAGTAACTGGTCCATTTTGTCCTAAAGCGGTCCACAAAAACAGGTACATGTAATGGGGTAATTTTACACCGTTCATTGAAATCTTATCCATATATCACAGCTTTGTTAAAAGAGAGCTCTGTGCTGCTGACAGAACATTTACCTCATCTATATATACAGGCTCCTGTTCAGGCTCTATGGTTTCCACCTGGATGTCCTCACTGAACTGCACGGTCTTCTTCTCCGTCTTCACTGCACATTTCCAAGTTACAGCAGATAAACAAGAAAGCAAGCGAGAAACCAGCAATAAGTTACGCATGAAAAAAGAGGTTAAGGTAAACTGATATCATAAATAAAATTCATAATTCACTGTATTGTTCATTTTAGGATCCATAAAGCCATTTTTATCATGTCTAAAAGTGTACTCACTCATCTCAGGCTCTGCCGTGAGATCAGCAGTGACAAAGTTGGACGGGAACAGCCCGACACCCTGGTATGTTTCTCCTTTCCACCAGTTGGGGTCACTAAGAGACAAACAGCAGAGCAAAACGTAAAACGGGAACTGTTGCATCATATTAACGAAGCAGAAAACTGATGTAATCACAACTGTAAGCATTAATTTAAGAAATAGAGGAATCTCTGTGACATCACGGTATTGTAATATATTTGTGAAGTTAATTTTAATCATATTGGAACAGAATCAAAATAGTTAACAGATACGACACCATTTTTATTTCAAGTACATTTTATTTTCAGTTAACAGATATAACGCATTTTCAACAGATGTTTCATGTTAGTAAACTAAGGTTAGAGCATATGACTTATTTTTTTATTTTTTACAGTAATTGGAAAGTTTATTCTCCTACTCATATATACTTGTTCAAATGTTCACCTGTCGTCAAGAATGGTGATGATCTCTCCCGATTTAAAGGTGAGTTCATTGTCCTCTGCAGCCTCAAAGTCATAGATGGCTCGGACTTTCCTGCCGTCTGACTTGTGTGTGGAAAGCAGGCTGGACGTGTTCGGGTAAAGGCTCGACAAGGAGGTCTGCAGCTGCTGGCGCTGCTCCTTCAGCGACAGTTCAATAGCTGCATACAGCGGAGACAAACATGATTAACTGTGTCTTTAATGGCTTTGAACATTTAAAACTCACTAGTCTAATTTAAATTAGAAAAACTAATAAAGACTGAGTAAAATCACTAAATGTGTAGCTTTTAACTCCATATCTAGTCACATCTGACAAATGGAAAATGTTCCGTTATTACCTCAGTCATTAGCAAACTCTGGCTCATGTTTGATCATTCACTTGAAGCCTCTTTACCTTTGGCTAAGTCCTCCTCTTCTTTTTTGTTTGTGGAGGTGGAGGGATCCTTTGCCACTAATGCTGGGCTTGCTTTTGCTTGCTCTGCAGCCTGTGAAAACATAAGTAGAGATTAGACAAGAAAGGCTTATATACATGACATTGAGGAAAAAAAAACTGTTGAAATTTGTTAGACATTAGTCCAAAGGAGTTAAATCAGGTCCTCTGGATGGGTTCAAAAAACAAAACAAAACAACAACAAAAAATGTTTGTTTTGTTGTACCTGACCTAACTTAACTTTTTTGGAATTTTTTTCTACCTGGATTTTTGAACATGCATCAGGATGTTAGACATTAGATTAAATTACAAACTGTACCAGTTGGAACTGAAAGCACACATTAAAAATAAACCTACCTGGGAACCCACCGCAGGGAAGGCCACACCTTGCTCGCGTAAATTCTTTATCATTGCTGAGATCAGACTGAGCTGCGGGTCGTTGCGGAAGTCCTCAGCCCACTCCACCATCAGGGCCTTCAGCTTCTCACACACTTTTGGGTGACCCTGAATTCAACACAAATTAAAAATCATGACCTACTCTAGAGACAAATTAATATTGCACCATGATTAAGGCAAAAAAAAAAAAAAAAAGCTACATACTTTGTTTAAGACGTTACTGACTTCACTGGCGAACTCTCTGGAGCACACCTCCAAGTGAAAAATCTTCCCACAGTTTGACACACAAGCACCGAGAAGCTGTAAGGACAAAGGAAATGGCTGATTTGAGCAGCTCATCATCATTCAACAGCTGTAGTTCACAAAACAAACATGGAAATAAAAACAAACAAAGTCCATGCTCAACGGAAATAACATGGAAACATGGAAATAATACTCGTTTAGTAAATACGACCGAGCTTTAGGGCCACGCTAAGAACAAAATTAAAAGCCCTAAAATTACGAGAATAAAGTTGTCGTATTAAGAGAATAAAGTCTAATAAATTATTAATATTACGAGAATAAAGTCGTACGAGTCTTTTTGCAGCTCTCTTTTGTTTTTGTTTTCCATGAGTTGGATGCGACCTGTCAATCAATCCAGTAGGCGTGTCAGCAAATGAGCAGAATTTACTACATTTTAACTGTGGTAAAATTAGTACTGCTGAGCATCTTGTTAAGTTAAACTTGGGTACTGGTTTTATAAATAAGGAGATAATCTGTCAGCACATCAGCATCAGTTTATTATCAGTATCAGGACTTTGAACCTGCTTACAGTAAGATGGTACGCTTTGATGGGCTGCAGCGCAGCTCTGCAGGTAAGGAGCATTTAGCTTCGGATTGGTCATTTGCTGACACGCCTACTGGATTGATTGACAGGTGCGTTGTGGATCTGACTCATGGAAAAAAAATAAAAATAAACGAGAGCTGTTAAAAAAAAAAAAAAAGAAGTCTCGGACGACTTCCATCCATCCATTATCTTTACCCGCTTATTCCATTTTGGGTCACGGGGGTCGCTGGTGCCCATGTCCAGCAGAGAAAACACACACATGCACGGAGAGAACATGCAAACTCCACCCAGAAAGGCCCCTGGACCGGGGTTTGAACCAAGGACCTGCTCGCTGAGAGGCAGCAGCTCTACCAGTTGTGCCACCGTGCTGCCCGTCTCGGACGACTTTATTCTCATAATACTAAAACTTTATTCTTGTAATTTTATGACAATTTTTTTTTTTTTCTTAGCGTGGCCCTAAAGCATCGTCGTAAGTAAAGATCTAGTTGCATAATAAACATGGGATTGAAGAACAGGCTCTCAATTTTACCTCAATGGTCAAGGAATATGAGTTTACAAACACAGATGCAGGTTAATTCAAGAACACAGTGGGGAATGGTTCTTGTGCCGTCTCTTATGGCTATTTATTTTTAACAGGCACATAATCAGGCCTTCACTGAAGTCACCTAAGTCTGTTGTTTTTTTTTAGTTTTGAGAGACTATCTGGTGCACTAAAGGGCACAGAGGAAAACAGTTACTACGGCCAATAATCCAGAACATACCTAAACACCAAGATGACTTGAAGCAGAAAATACTCTAGCTGATTGAAAGCATCCCCTTTTTACTGGTTTTTAACAGTTACACTCAAGTGGAAAGTACTGCTATCCATCCCTTTAAGTCAATTGGAAAGAACAGTCCTTCGTTCAAACAACAATTAAGTTTATTTTAAAACAAACAAAGGGGTGGGCAATATGGCTCAAATATAATATTGTGCTATTTCAGAGCATTCTGACGATAATGATAAATTTTGCAATATATAAAAAAAAAAACAGAAATCATAGTTATTTATTTGACAAAATTAACATGCTGTTTGCAGTATTACATAAAATAAAATAAAAAACAAGGGGTAATTTTATTGAAATTACTTTATTTAGTAAAGTATTCAGTCTCCAAGTATAAAAATAAAAAAGATGCTTCTGTTATTTAGATGGAAAAAGTTTGCACAAATAGATCAATAAATCCACCACAAAAACTAAAGTGCAGGTGAAGTTTCCCAAAATAACTAAATAACATGAAGTTTAAGATCTGTTCAGCATAAATGTAACAAAATATATGTTGCCTTTAAATGAGCTATAACTTCCAGAACTTGTAACAGGGTGATCAGCTGACCCTGAAGCTTGTGGTGTTTCAGCTTCCTCTGTTCCTGCAGGAATGATTCATTGCTCTGATGCTCGGTCTCTGATCACCTGACTATTTTGTTCTTGGTCCATGGACTGTGGATCTCAAGAGACAGTTAAGCTGCGCGTGTTTGTACCGGCAGTTTAGAGCGGGGGAGATGCAGCCCACACCGGCAGCTTAGAGCGGGAGGAGGGAGACAGTTGAGTTGTCTGTACCTGCAGTATAGAGCTGGATGGAGAGACAGCTGAGCCATGCGTTTTTTGTTTTTAGCTTTTTAGCTAGCTTGTATTGCACGCAGCTAATTAGCGTCACACCAGTACCGACAGGTGGAGGGGGGGGTGCACAATTCGGTGTGGTTGTTCGGTGCGCTCGGTTCTGTTAAGGGGGCGTGGCGCCCTGACATATTACGTCATGAAATTAGCATATCATGATATCATTATTTTGCCCAGGCAAGCTTTTTTTTTACCGGTATTATTGTGAACGATATGATATGGCCCAGCCCTACAAATATATGAAAAAAATAAATAAATAAATTCTGCTCAGCCTGCTTGAACAGAAGAAACCATTTATATGGTGTTGTTTGAATGAAGAGTTTTTTAACTTGGCTGAAACATGATTGTTTTAACTGTTGCTGTTTTGTTAATCCCCACTCTTTGTAAAGAGAAAATGTGTTTTAGGTCATATAATGCAACATGTCATGTGTAATAAAAAAAATAATCCTATCATTCTGTCTCCGAGTGTTAAATGTAATGTTCTTTTCTTTGAATCATGAGCAGCCCCACGTCTTCTCATCCCTTCCTGTCATTTTGGTACAGACTGATTACAGCTTTATGCATCCAAAAGACAATGTTTCAGAACAGATCTGACTTTTTAAGGGGTTTACTGGGTAAAGTCTGGTTTGGCATTTCTTTCCCAGAGGTTTTTGAAAGGTCTTCATCTTGTTGTGAACTCTGTATTTGCTATGATAAAACTTTCTTTTCATATTAAATGTGAATATTAAAGTTTTTATCTTCTGGAAGGGCAGCTTCCAAATTTATATGTCATAACTTAAGTCAGCTTTGTATAGTTTACTTATTTAGAGAATACATAGGAACATAACATAGGTATCAAAGAGCTTTTGAGTGATTTTTCTTTTCAAAGATAGTTCTATGATGATGTGTGGTGATATAATAGTTTTAATTTCAAAACCCTTCCTTCATCCTGGATGTGTATAGCCTCAAATTAAAGTTGAGAGTCTGCACTTTAGGTAGATATTCTCTGTAATTTCATTGTGTTTACAGCTGAAATTGCAAACAATGTATCAGCCTCCAAATATTTCCGGGCCAAACTGTACACACAACTTGTCTGTTTGTGTTCAGTCTACTTACAGTCAGTGCCTGCATGGCTACGTGTGGATCCTTGTGGTTCACTCTTCTCATTATGGAGCGGAGACATTCTTTTGGCCTGGAACAGAGGAGCAGAACCCAAAAGTCTTAAGAAATGAACTGCAAACTAAAAAAACAATCCAGCTTTGTTAAATTAAGTATTTACTTGTAAAGGGGTTTCTGAAAACTGTTTGAGTTTGATCTCTAACAACACTGATATGTTTACATATACCAAACTGCTAAAAAAAACTAAATATGTGTAATATTTAGTGGTGACAAAGGTTGAGATACCCAGTTCGGGACTGTCCTATCTTATCACATATATCCAGGATGAGGCCCCAGTCTTCAGCCGTGTTCATCTCACTAGTTGCTTTCTCTGAAGGGAAAAAAATACAACACTTAATACAAGCAGAAGTCTTAAACTGAACAGAAAAAAAACATTTACATAATTTTGTCAATACATTAAAAGCGGCAACAATCACAGAGAAATTAAGCTTTTAAAATAGTAATAGTTAAAAAAGAAAAATAATAGAATTGCAGGCTATGTGCATATTTTTTTCTTTTTGTGAGTATATTTTATTTAAACAAAATTCCCTGTGCTTATCCTGTGTTAACTAACAAACGGATTTATGAATCTTTGTAAATGAACATAAACATGACATATACGTGCTTCACAATACAACAAAAGCTTTTTAAATCCAGTGGCACCGTGGTAAACAGGGTTGTTCAATAGTTTAATAAACACTTTATTAGAGCATGAAAATTATAAAGTGAAACACTTAATCCGGCATTGGTGAGACTTATCTAGACTTATCTAGTGATTTAGTGTGTCTACACAATATCCAAGATGAGTCATAAGCAGTGTGATTAAGCAGTAACATATAAGTTCTTTAACTGCATTTAGAAATCAAAAGCTGGTTAAAAAGTCTGGTAATTATAAAATAAACTGCAGGGTTTGGTGTGTTAGTGGTGTTTGTGTAACATCAACAGTTTCCTCTGAAAACTGTACATGCTAATGATGTGGCTAACCACACAGGGAACACAGCATCACTTATATTTTCATATTACACCGCTTCCTCTTTCACTTCCACTTCTTCTGTAATTTCAGGCTCATTAATAACAAACTGAGGGTGAGATGCAGAACAGCAAAGCTAAATGAGGCACAAAGCTGCCAACTAGCCGATGACAACATATCTGTATCCCTCGTCATTTTACAGCTAATGTGATGATGAATTAAAAACATGCACATATTAGTACTTAAAAAAAAACACTTTGCTAGATTCGAGCCACTACAGTATGCATTGTAGTACGAGAGTGAAAGGCTCCGAAAACCCAAACAAAGCTGTCTGGTAGCTACTTATGCTAGCCCCGATGCTAACAGTTCTGATAACTCACCAACATCTTGGTCAAAAGGGTTGGTCGTGAAAAGAGGCATCGCTAGAGCGTTGGCAACAACAGATTTCGCCTTCCCCAGATATTATTTTTCCCACTTAATCTTACTTGACGCGATAAAAATGCATCGCAACAACAACTAGATGGGTGTCAAACAGAGCTAGCCCACTCTTTTTCTACACTGTCACTGCTTCTCGTCAGACGGCAACAAGCGAAGCATTCTGGGTAATTAACGCGAATAGTCGGGTGTCGAATAAACGTATGACACCAATAAATAGCCTATCGCTATAAGTCAAATTCTTATTTGCAGTCGTCAAGCCGACAATTTTTTTTATAAGATATTCTGAAAAAGGAAAAAAAAAATACACATCATTGTCAGGTGACGGGGGTCACATGACGCTTGGAGATGACGCTCTCTGGAAGTTGCTCAAAAAAACAAGTGAGATGTTTTTATTTATGATACAGGCCTAAGAATAATGTCAAATTTGAAACAGTTATTGAAATAATCCCTTATTCACTAGTGGAAACTGTGATGTGATAGAAAAATACAATTAAATTATCAATGTATTTTTTTTTTTTATCTTTAACGCAGCTGAAGGCTGGGAAAAATACATGTCAAATAAATTAATATATTGAAGTGTACCCAATAAACAAAGGTAGACAATTAAAAGGTTAAACGTCTTCAGATATAACCACAATTTAAAATGACTGATCTATGTCATGTTTGTTTGCTTTTTAAACATCATTATTATGAGAGGAGTTATTTATTTTAAAGAAATATTCTTCCCCTCTACTCATCTTTGCCTACAGTCTGCTGTTTGTAATGATATTTGAAACATTAAGAAAATAAATCCTTGACTACCAATCACTGTATAAAAATGTCTTGTAATGTTACAAAATTTACATAAAATGTTTGCACTTAAACATAAAACTTTAGTAAAAAAAAAAACCTCACCAAAACAAACAAACAAATAAATAAATAAGTAAAAATAACCTAAAAATTTGTGTGAAAAAAATGTGGAATTATTATGTAGGAACTCAGGATTGGATGCTGATTTTGTATAATGTCACACACAAGAATTAATTTATTAATTGTTTGATTAGAACAGAGTGAGGTGGAGGAGGATGACTCTCTGGTGACTGTTAAAAAGGGAACAGCTGAAAGATTAATTATTTAATTAATTTAAATAAACAGATAGGAATGCCAAGCATCCTGACTGAAAGTCAAAAAAGAAACAAACAAAAAAAAAAAGAAGACAAAAATCACAAAATCCAAGCAGATCATTTTTCACAATTTATTGTCACAAATATGGTCGTATCTGGTAAGAGCTTAATGAAAAACATAATCTGCCATAAAAACAAACCTGGTACTCAGTCCTTAAGAATAGCATGGTACAGCACTCATTCAATAATTACAGGCAATGATGTCAAAGCATTTGGATAAATCATTAAATCACAAATCAATTGGCTGCATTAAAATGTACATACTGGTAACATGTGCCATATAAAATGTATATAATATATTAACATTGGCAAATTAAAGTATGAGAAATACTGACTGCCACAACAGAGCAGCTCTGCTCTCAAAGAGCATCATTCAGTGATGAGTTTCACAAAGAGACCAAATATATTTTTACATTTTTTAAAAAGCTGCAGTCATTTGGTGTTATCTAGTAAGCTCTTTGTTTTTCGTGTAAGATTTTCTTCAAGATTTCTATAATTTGAAACTGTGGAGTATTTTAAAAAGTATGAAGTAGTTCTTACTTATAACATATAATCATATAGTATTCTGAAACAGCTTTGTTTTAAAGGTTTTATTATGTTTTTACTATGAAGGTATTAAAATGAAGACGACTGTTGAAAATGTGGAAAAGTATAAAATCCAAAACATTTTTCTTTCCCTTTTTGACTGATTTACAGATGCATCTCAAAAAATTAGAACATAATGTAAAAGTTGTAATTTATTTTGTCAATTATTTCAGAAAGTGAAACTCATATTTCAGTTTCATTATGTGCAGAGTGAAATATGACAAGCCTTTGTTTCTTGTAATATTGATGATTATGGCTCACAAATTATGAAAAAAAAAATTAATTGTCAGAAAATTTGAATATGATGAAGAGGTTCAATATTGTGTCACACCCAGTTAATTAACTTCTAGACATGAGCTACAAATGCCTCATTCCTCAGGTCGAGCCACTCCTGAACCAGAGACAAATCAGAAGCGTCTTACCTGTTGAGGAGACAAAGAACTGGACTGTTGCTCACTGGTCAAATGTCCTATTTTCAGCTTAAAGTAAAATTTCATGTCATTTGGAGATCAAGGTCCCAGAGTCTGGAGGACAGTGGAGAGGCCCAGAATCCATGTTGCTTGAAGTCCAGAGTGAAGTTTCCACAGTCAGTGATGGGTTGGGTTGCTATGTCATCTGCTGGTAATGGTCCACTGTGTTTCCTGAAGTCCACAGTCAATGCAACATATACCAGGATGAGCTTTATGGAGATGCTGGTTTTACACTGCCAAAGGTACAAAAAAACTGGCTGTGGAATATTCTAATTTTCTGAGACACTAAATTTCAGTTTCTTATTTATTATTTGTAAGCCATAATAATCAAAATTACAAGAAATAAAGGCTTGAAATATTACACTATGTGTAATGAATCTATATATGAGTTTCACTTTCTGAAATGATTGACAAGAATTGAACTTTTTCATGATGTTCCATTTTTAGATGCACCTGTTTATGTATAAAAGTGGCTGCAACAAACAATGAAGTGTTGGCACTTCATTACCCCTTTAAATTGATCCCCACCTTAAATCTTATTACTGTTTTTCTTTTATATTGTATACTTTTGTTGGATGTAACTGGGACCCTGTGTACACAATTTCATTACACCACATGTACCACATGTGCTGCACATGACAAATAAAGAACCTTGAATCATTGAAATCAGCACATTAGTGGCTTACTTAAAGCTCTGCTCCTGCTCTGTCTTGGGAACCATTCAAAGTTTTAAAGTCCCTCCAAAGACAAATATGAGTCCAAGTGTCTGTGATGCCTAATCAGGCTGCCTTTGTCAGAGTCTTTTTGTCATTTGAAGCTTTTTTTCTCACAACTTTCATTATTGCTGCATCTTCATCCTCACTTCCACATATTCCACAGATCTTGGCTGGATGCTATAAAACTGGAACGGCCACTGTAAGAAGAGCAACAAAATCACAACATATGTTGACAACATTTACACAGATTTACAGCAACAGTTGCAGTGTAAGCGTTTTTATTGTCCACAGTTTACCTCTCAAGGAAAAACTAAATTATTTTTAGTGATTGCATTTACTATATGTTGATGTAAGTTCTACTTTCTGTTGAGATTCAGTTCAGAAAAATCCTAAAAAAAAAAAAATTCTTCTTTCATCTGAAAAATGTCATCAGTCTGAGGCCTGCCAACCCAGATCTGTCTCATAAATAGCATCTCCTTGATGTGTTTCAAGCCAGCCCTCTGTAGAATCCAAAGAAACTAGCTTTGCACGTGCAAAAAGGGGACCATCCGTCAAAAACAACCAATCATCAGGTATAACAAAGCCAGTTTGTTCCACAATTCATTTTTTTAAATGTGTTGTAAAGACCAGACTGTGGTAGATCCTTGTTTTTACTTAAATCAGTAACACCCTGGTCTAATTTCACAGCACAATTGCTACATTAAAAGTTTTAAATGATTTTTACTGCACATACTGCAATTAAACGCACAATATATGCAAGTACAAGAAGTTCACTATCCTTTTTAGTTAGTAGCTGAGGACTATACATAAGTTTTTCCACTACAGATTTTTATTTTCTCCCAGAAAATGAATAGATGACCTGTACATAAATTACTTTTATTGGAGTCTTTAAGATCCAGTTGGTGGTTGGCTGAGTTTTTTCTTAACTCTTGCTCCAGTATGTTAATGCTTGCAAAATATTGGAATTTCCAGATTATTCACAAACGAAACCAACACTGAAAATTTACTTTTGAAGTTGGAGCTCCAGTTAATTCAGACTCAGCTTGGGATCAAGGATGTTGTGAGACCAACAATTTATCAGATTTGATATTTACAAACAGTTTGATTTAATGACAATAACCAGAGCATACTGATGTAAAAACAACAACAAAAACAGAGTACAGTAGTCCCTCACTACTTCAGAGTTTGTTTATTGCATACTCGCTCTACCGCAGTTTTTCTAAATAAGATTGGACGTGACACACAATTGTCTGCTTGATGGATGAGCCGCACGATCAGCATGGAATTTTTATTTCAAACAAATTATTTTAAATTAATTAGCACCTGCTGCATCTTTGTGCAGCCTACAGCTGCAGTAAAACCTTCCTCCTGCACTTCTGTACAGCCCACACTGCAGGATCAACTGCCTCCTGCAGCTGATCAGCTGTTCTCGTGCAGCATGGAGAAGTGGGTGTGGCCAAGAGCGCTTGCAGGTGGCTGAGTGCAGCTGAAGCTCAGAGAGGTAAATCATGACATTCTGTGCTCTTTTAGAGCGTTAAGAGTTTAGAATATTGCAAGAGTGTGGGAAGGGTTTAAAACACCTTTACATGCATATATATATATATATATATATATATATATATATATACACTGCTCAAAAAAAATAAAGGGAACACCTAAACAAAACAATGTAACTCCAAATCAGTCACACCTTTGTTGAATCACTGTCACCAGTTAGGTAGTAACACTTATTGTGAATCAGTTTCACCTGCTGCTGTGCAAATGGAACACAAAACAGGTAGAATAAGAGGCAATTAGCAATACAACCCCTATAAAAGAGTGATTCTGCAGGTGGTGACCACAGGTCATAGCCAGTGGTGCCCTGATCTACATAAAGTACCGGGATGAGATCCTTAGACCCATTGTGAGACCATATGCTGGCGCAGTGGGCCCTGGGTTCCTTCTTATGCACAACAGTGCTAGGCCTCATGTGGCTGAAGTGTGTCAGCAGATCCTACATGATGAGGACATTGATGTTATGGACTGGCCTGCCTGTTCCTCAGACATGAATCCAGCCTGTTTCCCAGTGTCAAGTAATGTCACATTTGATGAAATCGTCCCCTGCCCATATGCTGCAAGTGTGGCAGATTTATACTGTGTTCTGTGATAAGAATGAAGTGAACATTGCATGTTGTGATTATATCAGATTTATACTGTGTTCTGTGATTAGAATGAAGCAAACACTGCATGTTGTGATTATATCAGATTTATACTGTATTCTGTGATTAGAATGAAGTGAACACTGCATGTTGTGATTATATTAGATGTATATTGTATTCTGTGATTAGAATAGAGTGAGCACTGCATGTTGAAATCATGTTAGATTAGAAATATAGTCTGTGCTCAGAACAGTGGATAATGCATTACCTTTTCTTGCTCAATCTATGAGTCTCCACCTGGAATGTATGTAAGAGCATTCCAGGATGGATGGGGAGTGCATTACCTTATCTTAGTTTGTGATTGTCCACTTTTAAGGGAGCCTAAGAGCATTCCATGACAAGATAAGGACCTGAGTAAACAAGTAATTGTTATAAATAAAGCAGACGAGAAGAGAAGTGTTGTAATAAAACTCATGTGCTGGTAACAGAGGGGCTGTGAGGCAAGATGGTACTCTCGACACCATAAAAGGACATGGAGTAGAATGTTTCTCCTGTTCCGAGAAACGCACGGCTCTAAAGAGCTGAGGCCAATCAGAGCATGACACTAGAATAGTACGAGGGAAAAACTGGTTCTGTCCAGAAATCCGTCTATATAAACCAGGCACAACAACGGGGAAGTGCTGAATGGACCGTGGAGTCGACAAGACAGGACAATATAGATTTCACCCCAGGAGCCACTCAGAGGGATTTGGACAGCTCAGAAGGGACTTCTTTTTCATCAAGATAGGAATACTCCCTTGTTCAGCTGAGTTGATGCCAGACCAGACCCCTCAAGGTTAGGTTTGCTTTTGGGGGCTAAGGGTGATTCCTTCCAGGGCTCTGGAGGAGAGACTTGTCTTGCCATTATCCAAGGTCTTCGGACAGAAATGGTGAGCGACCCCCTAACATATTGTCCAAATGCTAAATTTTTATACAAAATAATTGTGTTTTTCCATAACTGAGTGAAAAAGGGTTAGACTGAGAGAGTGTCGTCCTGCTTCCAGCCCTCTTGAAAAGTTATCACATAAATTGTGTGCTGTCAAGGTTGATTGTAACAGTTTGGTTAAAAATCTGGTTGGCTCATGGGACAGTCTTAGGGGTTTGTGGGGATTTAATATGCTTTGGGGCTCCAAATGCATAACAGTCCATTCCAATAAGAGGAGGCTGCACTGTAGTGGACCACCTATGCTCTAGGATTCAAGATTTCCTAACACAGATCATCGGAGCCAGGAGAGCCTTACCTTGGTGGACACCCCAAATCCTGAGCGTCCCATCTGACCAATAGGACATTTCCTAGAACCAGGCATGGACTCTTCATCATTGTTCTTTTTGAATAATTAAATGTAATAAATTATAGTGTGCTGATAACACTGTACCCCTGCAAATTATTAATTAAAGCAAAGCATAAAATGTAAAACTCTGGACTATCATTTCTACACTTTGTACTCATGGATTTGGAAAGCGTGGTTCAATTCTAACAAAAAGAGGAGGTTTTTAAAGGTTTCTCAGCTTTGAATAAACAACATCCTGGAATCTTATGCCTAGATACTAAAAAATACCAGGTCGGTAACAATTACAGTTCTACAACCGAAGGTGGGTGACCGTTAATGCAAGATTTCCCCATGGGCAACGATCCAACCCCAGCTGCTAGGTTGGGCGAGTCATGGGGTGAGACAAGGGTGTGACTTGCAAATGAAGGTCGTTAACAATCTGGGTGAGTCACCTTCAACACAGCCTTAAGCAGAACTAACGTAAGGCTACTTTGGGTAATAATCAAGTGCTAGATTAGTTCGATATACCCCTTGGAGGAGAGGCTGCAGTAGGGGTTAGCCATAATTCTAGTGGTGATCCCTCTGGGTAGATTGAGACCAGACATGAATCCAACTGAGGACATCTGGGACATCATGTTTCGGACAATCCACCAAGGCCACATCGCACCACAGACTTTTCTGGAGCTAACTGATGCTGTAATCCAGGTCTGGGAATAGATCCCTCAGGAGAACATCCACTATCCCAGGCGTTGCTGGGAGTTTATACAGGCATGTGGAGGCCGCACACACTACTGAGCTTCATTTAGACTTGTCTTGAAAATATTCAATGATGTAGAATCAGCCTGTCATGTTATTTTCCACTTTCATATTGAGTATGAATCCAAATCCATATCTCCATGGTGTAATAATTTTGATTTACATTGATAATTTTTGTGTTATTGTCTTCTCAATCAATTCCACTCTGCTAATATTGAGGTCTAGGATGTGTTATTTCAGTATATATATATATATATATATATATATATATATATACTAAAATAAACTGTTACTTACCAATTGTACTACTATTCCTACTCTGTGGCTTTTCACTTATTGCGGGGCTTCAGGGTACGGATCCCTCGCGATAAATGAGGGACTACTGTTGGCACTGTCAAAATAGTAAAATGTTTGATTTTAAGAAGTACTAACAGTCAGAGGAGCGTTCGCAGATGAAACCGATGCGGTCGGTGCAGTAGAAATCATTCCAGTTGGCATTATGAATAAGGCCCGCACAATCCTCGCCTTCTTCATGACCGTGAGTCCAATTATCAGGCTGACCTGGCTTCCATTGTCTGATGACGACAAGTTTGATTAGCTTCATTTTTATAACCAAATAGAAAACAATACAATCAAGTTTTACATCAATAAAATGCATTTAGAAAAAGATAACTTACGTGAAAACTGGCATGGTTCCATCCACCCACTTCCAGACATTTTCCTTCTCTTTGTCAGTAAGCCCCAGCCAGAAGTAGCCCTTTCCTGCAATTACATTCTTCACATATTGCTACGCAAAGAAGAGAATCAAACATTTTACAAGATGATTCATAAATAAGTATTTGGCCTAAATGCTTAAAGATTCCTTTTACCTGTTCCTCATTGTCATTGATTATGAGCATATGAGACGAAATGTTGGTACAAAACTTGTTTGCCTCATTAAAGTTGAGTCTCTGAGCACCAGAGGAGAAGTAGTAGCAGCTGTTTTTAAACTTTGTGAACTTTGGTGGACAACCTGGAAGAATTAAACACCAGGAAACTTAAAAGAAGGAAATCCTTCTCAATGCAGTTTGAATTAGTTGAAGTATTAACATTTGGGGATGTACATAAACATTAGAGAACTTGTCAAAAATTTCTTATACTTCTGTGAACCTTGAACTCACCGGTTGTTGGGGTGGTGGCAGCAGGTGGGAGCTGAACCTGCTGAGACATAGAACTTTGTGGTTTCTCTGTTGGTACCGGGCCTACTGTTGGTTGGGTTGGTTTGAAGTCCTGTGGAGGCTGAGGTGGATTTACAATTACAGAAGGTTTTAGTGCTGGCAGCCCAGGAAGACCTGGAGGACCACGAGGGCCAATAGGTCCAACGAGCCCACGAGGTCCCTCTAAACCTGCAGGTCCTACTGCACCTCTGGACCCCTGTGGACCTGGTAGGCCTTGTGATCCAGGTAGTCCATCCCTACCAGGAATACCAACAGCCCCGGGGTCACCCTTATCACCAGGACTTCCGGCTCGACCTCCAGGTCCTCTGGGTCCTTTAGATCCTGGTGCCCCCAAAGCCCCGGGCTGACCTTTTGGACCTTCCATGCCAGGTGGTCCAGGAGCACCTCTCTCTCCTTTATGTCCCATCAATCCTGGCATACCTCTGTCTCCTTTAGTACCCTTTTGTCCTGTCTGACCCATTGGCCCCTGAGGACCTTTGTCACCCCTGGAGCCTTTTGGACCTGGTGGACCTGAGCCAAAAAAGTAGATGTTATTGGACTTGAGGTGACTGGATGAATATCGTTGGAGGGGGTTTACACTGTCACAAAAGCAATACAAACATTTTCACTTTGCTGTGTGCATATTTAATTGACTTGTTGATTTTATTATATTAAACACCAGCAGATTTATGTGAGGTGTGTTCATAATCTCCCAAAAGTCACCATTATGGTTCTTTTTAATCATATCCACCTTATTCCTGGGGGGGTCTACTTTATAAATGATTATGGGTACAACTTCCTGTCAGACACCAGAAGTAGCAGTAAGTATTGTGTATGGTAGCGGAGCACGGACCACAGTTTGTTTGAAAGTAATTTTCAGTTTAGCAGATAAAACTGTGTTTTTTTGTTGTTGTTGTTGTTGTTTTGACATTTATTTAACAACTATAAACTTTACTAAAATAGCCTTGCGGAGTTCAGGTGCCTGCTGTGTTGTTTGCGGCTGCACAAACAACCAGACCAAACTAAGTCAGTGGCTACAACAACAGCGTTCTGAACATGGACCCTAAACAAAACAAAAGTGTTCCTGTGAAAAGCGGTATAGTTTCCATCGCCTACCTACACATGAGGGATTAAGAAGAATGTGGCTGAAAAATATGAACTTGAAGAAACTACCCAAAACGCTGCATGTGTGCTCATTTCACTTTGTTGACAAACAGCCGACAGAGGAAAACCTGCATTCTACTTTGTGGCTGAACTACAATAAACCACCAGAAAAGAGAGGCTGGATCCTCAGATGGAATGAAAACAGTGCGATGAGAATATCAGGTAGGCCTGTCACAATAACAAATTTTGCTGGGCGATTAATTGTCTCAGAAATCATTGCGATAAATTATAATATTGTTAGTAATTTATTGTCAAATTTAAGAAGAAATGTTTATAAATTTGTTTTGCATGTGGTACCTTTTTTCAACCACTAGATGGCAGTATAAGACTGAACCGAAGGGTGGATAGTGAGGGAGCGAGCAGCATGTCTCTTTAAGAAAAATGGGAGGGATGCCCCTTTACGTGACATGGGCTGTCTCTACTTCCTTTCTTTGGTTCTCAGAATGGCGGATGTTTGGTGTGGTTTGAGTTCTTTAGCATAGCATTTTTCACACAAAGCTTTAATAAAAATTAGTAAACAAGTTTTCAGCTTCTTTTTGCAGAAAAACAACTTTTTACACGAAGGCACGGGTTTCAACCATGAATTTTGGAGTTTCAACAAGACAGAGATTTTTTTCCTGAGGTCGGCATATTAGCTTAGCTCAAGCTTAGCTTCTCAACTTAGCTGCTTTTAACCATTCAAAAACACAATTTTGGATGGTTAAAATGGATTTTAAAGAGAAAGGGAGAGGTCAGTGAAGAGCACCGGCGTTGAGCTTTTTGTCATCCAGTGTCCAGTAGAAAGAGAGAGACACGAAAAAAATGATAAAGCCGTTAAATAAAAACGAGGTTGATAATTTTCATTTATCATGCGATTAATTGATTTATTGTTTATCATGACAGGCCTAATATCAGGTATGAGTTCAAGTGTATGAAGGGCAGAGTATTATAGTATTTGTTCGTCTTTGGTATTACAATTTTCTCTGCATTTAACCCAAGCTCGGTGATGGAAGGACTTTAAGGCTATGGCTGAGCTCTATGGCTGCTTTAAGATAAATAAGATTATGTCCCACCTCTTTAATGAAACATAACCGACCTTATTACTGTGTAGATACTAATACGCCTCAGAGCTTTTCAGGTTGTTCATTGCTTCACTGTCAGAAGCAACTGAGTCGTGAAGTAGCTAAATATGCTAAAAGATGTCATCTGTGGCCAGTTATTCAGGTTGTCCTCCCATCCCTCATCCGCAGCAGGATGATTATATAGTCCTGTTTGAGCTCTGGCAGGTGGTGTTCCCACATGTTTAAATTAAATCCACAATGCTCGAAGAAACTACATTAGCTCGAAATGTTCTCACGTAAACACCGGTTCCGGTCTGCACCGGAAGTTGTGCCCATAATACACACAAGGCACCATGGGGCCTAGGAATAAGGTGGATAGGAGCAGTGATCTAAACTTTCTGTGAGTTACTCAGAAACCTTTATTTAAAATTAAAATGGAGATAAATGGCATCTGTACCACTTTGGTATACAGGATGCAAACCAAATGTTTTGTCTGTTCTTACCCTGCAGGATGGTGAAGTTTGTGATGAGCTGTGAGTGCTTGCTGTCCACCAGCTTCATCTCATTCATCACCACGGACAGGTTATTCACCTCCTGGTCCAGTTTGGATGTCAGTTCATCCTGCTGGGTACGCAGCTCCTTGCTGTCAGTCTTGACCTCTTCCATGCTGGCATTCAGCGCTGCTAACAGATCTGAATGCCTCATCACTGTTTCAGCACAGGATCTAAGGCCATTCAGGTCGGAGCTGATGACACCTAAAATCTGTGCAGCAAAACTCATGTTTCCAGTCACACGGTCCATGTCATTCTCGTGCCTGTCTAACCTAGCTTCCATCTCATCAAATTTTAATGAGGTGGCATTATCATGGTCTCTCTGGTTGTCCATCAGCTCACGCAAGCCCTGGTCATGGCCTTCACCGAGTGCTGATGTGTTCCGGATTTGGCTTGCTAAAGTGCTGAGCTGAGCTCCTAAATCCTCCAGCGTGTCTCCATTGGATCTGGTCAGTGCTGAATTGTTGGCTGCCAAGACCTGAAGGTTCTGGACTTTTTCTTTGAGCCACTCTGTGTCTGTACGTGTCTGTCTGGCCGTCTGTTGAAGGATCTGATAGTCATTTTTCAGCTTCTGTATCGCCAGGCTTGTATCTTCAACTGTCTTCTGCAGTGTGCCGAGCAGATTGCGCTGCTGGGTTTGGGTGATGTTAAGGGCGCCAATGCTCACTTGGGTCTCACTTTGCCCTTTGACCTGGTCTTGTAACTCAGACTGGAGCTGTGCTGTGTCTGTCTGGAGGCTGTCAATCATTCCACTGTAGGAGGCCAGCGACTGATTGATTCCACGCAGCGAGGCTGCATTATCTTCGAGAACTCTTTGCAGGGAGACATGGCCGTTCTGCACATCATCTCCTGTGACTAGAAGGTCATTCAGCGTCTCTCTGTTGCTCGTTGCTCTGACGTTAACGTCTTTCAGTTGGCCTTGCAATGCTTCCAGCTCTGACTTGAAAGTGTTAATTTCACTGGTTGCATTGACGGACTTCTGTTCTGCCTGATCATCTAAAAATATGAAATGTGAAAAACACGTCAGCAGAACATGCAAATATAGCACAACGTCAATGTAAAAAACACCTACAGCAGTTTGTGTCACTATATCTATATTTGTGATGTAATCTTGCTCTAAACAGGATTACCTAGTTTCATTAAGTCTGATTCCACAGCATTGATCTTCCATCCATAATTTTGCATTCCTTCTGTCACATTGTCCATCTTCTTAACAACTAAGAATAGAGCAAAGAATTGAATGAAACACAGACACAAAAAAGCAGAAAAGGTCCACTAAAGTATTCCTAATCAGGAACCTTTAAGCTCTTAGAGAATAGAGTCTTAAGAACCAGCCTCTCAGCTAATGTGGATTAACTCACACCAGCAGAGGACGCTGGTGTATTCCTGCCACTGCAGTGAATGAATGGAAAGCCAAGCAGCAGTCCTGGACACATAATGCTGCTCAGTTTACTGAGATTTTTGTAACCAGGCAACAGCAGCACTGATGATTGACAGATGACGCTCATAAATTCCACTTCTGAGTCCAAATAATCTGAAAAGCAGATTGAATACCCCACTGGCACACCTCAGCTCTGGCTCCATTTTCTCTCTCTACATCTGCAACATCTGCTCTCCCTCACAGTTTGCTTTCCCATCAGCAGGTGGGAGTCTAAAAACTCCACTGGAAAACATCCCAAGAGTTCACTGTTATCATTCCAGGAGTGACAAAAACATGTACCAATAACACACGCTTATGGCAAACAAAAACACAAGCACTCAATTGAGAGATGGAGTCTCCGCTCTTTCTTTATGTCTGCTAAACACATTAATTCAGTTTTTATAACTATGTTGTAAAACAATGTCAGAAATGCTGGATAACATATGCCACTATCTACTCAACCCTCTTCCTGTCTGTAAACACATTCTTTCAACATTCCTGTTGTGAAAAAAGCAACAGGCGTAATTTAAATCGACACATTGAAGTAGGGCTTACTGGCTGCCTATTGTAAAGTTATTGTTAAGGAGTTCTCCAACCTGAGTTGCAGAAACTGGCCTTTAGTTACACCAGGTAACACAAACGATGCTCCAACAGAGCAAGTCAATTAAGTGTTAACATAATTTGCAGGTTCAAAGACAAAAATAAAATAAAAAAATGGATGCAGAATCTAGCAAACTCTGGATAAAGTTAAACTGATTTTGACACTCGCCATCATTTGTGAGTCAATCTGTGGTCCATGAGACAACAAATTGCTACCGAACCATAAAATCTCCTCTGTGTTGTTAAACTGGGGTAGTCCCTGCATGGTCATCTGGTAGAGATTAGAGGCAAGCAGTCAAAATCACATGGGCTCCACGCCAACACAGGCCCAGAGCTGGGAACCAAAATAATCCTGACAGAATTTAAAAGAGTCTGATTTAGATCTGCACTCGTAAAATTTCCAATAAAGCCATTCCGTACTGGCAAAGTGAACTTTCTGCTGCCTGTGGACCAGGTGAAACTTAGAAGATTGCGCTCGGTTTGCTTTGATTAATTTGAGGCTCCACATGTGTAAAACTGAACAAACAAACCGAATTCTTTCCTGACTGTGCTGGAAGTCTTCTCTGTTTCTTTTTAACGTCAGTCTTCTGGTTCAAAACACAAAAACAAGTTGCAGAAAGCACAATGTTGCAAATTGTGTTTTCTGTCTCAAAATCTGGCTTATCTCCGAAAGAGATCACTTCAGTGGAGAAATCGAAAGAACAGCAGATGCTGAACAGCAAATAGTTTGAACTTTTGAACTTGGGTGAAATGTATGAAAATATAAATGTAAAAACAAACAGGTTAACAAACAGAACAAATTACACGATTTATTGTTTTTTTTAGTCTTGTAAACAAACAAAAAAAAGGTTAAATTATGTCATCTGGACCAGTTTCTTTAAGTGAGAAATGTATCGACTCACATCCAGAAGACTTCGTCAGTCTGCGGCCTGCCAACCAGGTCTGTCCCCTAGGTAGCCTTCATTGCTGTGTTTCAAGCCAACCTCCTGTTGGAATCTCAGAAGCAGGTTTATAGGGACTATCTGTCCAAAACAAATCTGTCCTTAGGCTGTTTCTGTGAGTAGCAAGTTGTCCATCTGGCATTAAACATTTGATTGTTATACATGATGGTTGTTTTGGACATATGGGTCTGTGATGGTCCCAGACCATCACAGCCATCTATACCTCCAGATGCAGGAAGAGAGCCACCTGCATCATGAAGGACCCCACTCACCCAGCACACACACTTTTTGCCCCGCTTCCCTCAGGAAGGAGGTTAAGGAGCATTAAGTGTAGAACCACTAGACTGAGGAACAGCTTCTGCCCTGAGGCTGTTAGACTCATGAATCTCTAACCAGAATTATCAATGTGAAAAATCACATCATGTTGCTGCTGATCTGTTTCTGGTTGCTGCTGATCTGTTTCTGGTTGCTGTGTTCATTTGTACTCCTCTGCTCACACAGACTCATGTTCGTGCTGCTGTTCAGTGTATTGTTTTTATGCTACTAGTGCTTAGCATATTTTTAGTTAACATTTTTCTTAGTTCATATCTTCAATCTTATTGTTGTTTTTCTTTTACATTTTATTGTTGGATGTAACGGGGACCCTGCTTACTCAGTTTCGTTCCACCACATGTACCACATGTATGACAAATAAAGAAACTCTGACCCTGACTCCTGTTTGCATGTGTTAAAAACCTGCATCTGAGATTTCAACAGGGGGTTGGCTTGAAACACAGCAATGAAGGCTACCTATGGGACAGACCTGGTTGGCAGGCCGCAGACCGACGAAGTCTTCTGGATTTGAGACAAAATGTTTTTCTCTTAAAGAAACTGGTCCAGATGACATGATTAAACTTTGTTGTTACCTACCTGCATGATTAAACTTACTAACCTTTTTTTATGCTTTTAACTCTTGTGACATGTCCTACATATCAATATTAACCCCAGATTAAATTATGGCAGAGGCTCAAGATACATCTAACACCTCTAGACCTCAATAGAATACCTAAAATGAAATTTGCCAGTGAAAACGTTAAACATTCAGCATTGAATCTGTTATATTGAAATTGTGTGATGATTTTAAATTGTACATGAAGGTCCAACAATTTTTCAGTCAGGTCATCTGGACAGTTTCTCTCTTTTTTTGTGCTGAAACGTTTCACCTTCCATCCAGAAGGCTTCATCAGTCAAGGAAACACACAACACAAAACTGATTCTTCCCCCAACAGCTTACTCCAAAGTGGAACAAACCATTTATGTTGGTGCTAAGATGGTATCTTTGGCACGCCCCCTCCTCCGGTGCTGGCCCTCTTCCTCATCGACAGTCATGTAAAAATAAAATAAACTGTCCAGACGACCTGAATGAAAATTGTTGGATTGCATACTTGGATTATTGAGCATGGACTTTGTTTGTACATGAAGGTATGCAGCAGTAACCAAAAAGTAAATAGCTTGGAAGAAATTAGCTTTTCTGTTTGGTTTTACGTTACCTTTGTATCCAAGGACAGCCACTGCTATTGTGAGCAGGGCACAGAGCACATAGAGGAGACAGATGGCTGCTCTTAATGCCCAGTCATTTTTGCACTTTGTGCACTCTGTGGCCTCTTGAATCCCTGAAACACACACATGGATCTGTGTCACATCAGTGTGCAAAATGTAGTAAGTCGGCTAATATTAGAGCACCATGGGGAGCAGTAGTAACTTGTCAATTGTGCAACTGTGGTTGGAAGTACAAACAAACCAAACAAGCCAAAAATTTTCATTTAAAAATTAAAGTTGTTTTTTTTTTTTCACTATTCTTTTTACAACTAAGTTTAGTTCAGGATGTCAACCGTGGGACACTTTGTACCGTCTGTCAGCCAAGACTAAACTAAAAACATTTGGCCTCATAAACAGGCAAGAACGTTCACAACAAAACTGAAAACACTGTACATGTGTTAGCCATACGGCCAAACGGCACCCTCCCCCTGCCTGCGTCATTCCTCACTGTCAGCCGACCCAGAGCGAGGGAAACTTTTTGAAACATTTGGTCCTTCGTCTCACAGATGTTCACAAATACACAGTAAAATTTCCAGAGTAAAATTTACTCAATTTGAAAAAAAATTTACTCTAAAAAAGATAACATTTGGTCCCAGTCTAAATAGAGTAAAATTTACTCTCATGGAAGAGTTGAAATTTCAGAGTAAAATCTACTCTATTTAGTGCAAAAATTTTAATCAATGCCAAGAGAATTTACTCTAAGTTGTTTAAAAGAAAAACTACTCTACTGTATTTTAACTCCAAGTGGAATATAATTTACTCTAAATAGAATTGCATTCTATTCCAAGTAGAGAAAACTTTTAGTCTGACTAAAAAATAATTTTACACAAAATAGAATAGAATTTTATTCCACGTAGTATCAAATTGTGCTCTTAATGGTGTAAAATTTTACTCCTAATTTTATTTTATTCCATATTGTGCAGTTAAACATTAAATTAAATTGTAAAATAGAACAAAATGTAACTTTATTTCACTCACTAAGCAATTTTTTTAGCCATTATACACATCTGAGTTTGTAAGAGTACAATGCATAGACCAGAAATCAGTATTTGAACAGCCATTTTTATTGTTCACAGGAAACAGTATGGAACAATATAAACATTTGCATCTTCATGACTGTATGACACCTGTAAATCAAAAGCTCTGGCACAGAAAAGCTCTTCTACATAAATAACATGAGGTCCATCTCTTGTACACAAAACTTGAAAAGCACTGAAATGCTCATTCAGACACACTGTTTGCAGTGCAAATGTAACAAACAGTAACCTCTCATCTTTCACAACAACATTGTAGATCTTATGGAAAACTGGCATTTCACAAAACATTTCTTTACAAACAACTAAATCTGCACGATACATATTTCCATGGTGTTTGGCCCATTTAACATTTAATACTTTGGTGTTGATTGGTAACTGAAGAGTCTCTGCTATCTCACAGCCCCACTTCAGTACATTTAAAGGCACCATTTTACCTGGTCCAATGGTCAGTCTCTTGTGGTCAAATGTATGCCAACTGAAAGCAATGTGACTTTGATGCTTTAATGCCAGGGTTTTTGTAACATTTTTAAAACTTTTCAATTGTTTTTTAAAGAAATTGTGTTTAGCTTCGTATCGCATGCACCAGCTATGTAGAATTGGGCCTATTTTGAGTATGCATGTAGGATAATGCACCATAAAATGATGCTTTGGGAGCAACTTTTTTTGTGGAAACAAATGTTTGAATAACCTGTGATGTTCGGCAATCAGGTGTTTTAAGAAAATAGTAATGCCTTTTGATAACACTGGTGAAAAAACAATATTTACTATGTGAAGCAACAGCTGCAGCAAATACCAGTGCTGATCATTTGGACAAACTAAGTCTCCAAAGATGAGTGGTAGGTTACGTAGTAGACACCAGGACTGGATGGCATTTAACCCCAAGTCATTTGAGTCTTCTACCAACTTCACTGCAGGTGGTTTGTTGGTTTGTTCCATGTAGCCATAGTTAAAGCTCCTTATTCTCCTGTCTACATCCTTTAATGTTGTGTACTGGTCAACTACATGCAACAAAATCAGCTTCATTTCATATTGTGCCACTCCTTCCAAGATATCATGCATAATATCAACTGAGAAGTTTTCACATGTACTGAAGTACTGTAGTGAATTTAGAATGCATGACTTTTTAAGTCAAGGACATATTCTACTGGGTCTACACGTCCCCAATTATCTGCCAAAAAACGAGTTCTTTTACTTTCAGAATTTAATATCTTGAAAGGATTTTCCATTTTCTCAAAACATTGATCAATTTTGCACTCAATGTCACTTTTGACAGGTTCTTGTAAAGAAAGACTGTTTTTCACAGATTCTTTTGCTTGATTTTGAAAATCATTAACTATTTCTTCCAGGGAAATTACCAAAGAGTTAATTGCTCTTTCACTTACACCTGCAAATTTAAGTTCTGCAACTGCTGTTGCACAACTATGCACAAGAGATTTCTGAAGCGGGACTGTATCAGAAGCAGCACTCATAGAGGGCAAATTTTGACTTTCAAATGTCTCTTCAGTTGTAGATGGGCCTTCACCAGGATTACAAGTGTGTTTATCATGTGCTTTATTGAGATGCTTTCTGAACCCAGAAAATGTGCCATAAACTTGAGCACAACCTGCCTGACCACATTTAAGACGAAGTGTCTTACCAGAGCAAAGTCCGTGGATCAATTTTAAGTGCTTGGTCAGAGAATTAGCATTTGTCTGGTACTTCTTACAAATGAAGCAGAACATTCCAACTCAACTTAATACTGAAACAATCATAGCAAAACAACTATTTAACGCAGCATCCGAGCCCTCAACTCTGCAACCCTAGGATTTACTTTGGTTGTCTCAACATCTATCTCATAAATGGCGGTCTGCAGAAAATTGTACACATTGACCAGATCATGGTCATATGAAGTGCCGAACACAAAGTGAGCTTTAAAAAGCTCATCAAAACAGGCTAGAGGGCCTGGTGATTTACAAGGTATGGCATGTTTGTCAATCACAATGAAGTACTTGTGAATAACGCCCCTCTGAGTCCCTACTGCAAGCAGGTAAGGTTGACGCCTTTCTGCGATGCCATCAAGGTGCCCCTGGATGCTGGTTCCTGTCTGTGGTAAAAACAGAATAAAACATGATTAGTCTTGGGTTTCAAAGAAAACAGGGTTCTTATAGTTAAGGCAAATTACTTTTCAGGACCTCTTTAATGTTACTTGAAATGAAATTTCAGACCAACTTCACAAAAAATACAAATAAATAAAAATAAGTGAAGAATAGGGAATTTTGATCAACATAAATATTCCCTTAGCTGTAACCTTACCTTGACAAACTTCACAAGATGTTCAATGGCTGCTCTGGCTGAGAGTTTTCCTGGTCTCTTCCGGCCATGAGGTGACGGTGGCAGGAGGTGCACAAGAATCAGAATGGATGACATGTCACTGTCCCATCCTGGAAGAAAAGATGAAATAAACATAAGCTAACAGAACTTCTTTGCAACCGTGTTAACACTTCCAGAGGAAGCTTACCAAACAGTGACGGCAGAAGGAGGCGCACTTATATTGAATCAATTTACATAAAATTATGTTACATTAAACACCGTCTTTATAATCCAGTCCAACTTACCATTTTGCACCTCTGTTGTGCCTTCAGCATTGTGAAGAAGGTTCTCAAGGTCATCAGACTGTGTGAGACCACGGCTTTGTTCGAGGACTTTCTGCTTGTAGACAGTGGGCCACTTCTCCAGGAATTTTGCAGAGATGGCTTCCCCAAACATCAATGTAAAATCTTGCTCAACCTGGAGAAGAGATGAAGGTTTTAAAAATCATTTTGTTAAACTTTCTCACGCCCACCTCAATTTAAACTTTATAAAAATAGGTTAAGCTGAAGTGAAGATAAGCATACCAATCCTCCCATGTCCAGGAATCTTGGGAAGTCCAAAAAGATACCAGGTGACTTCACTGGGTCATGAATCATCTTCTGGCGATAGTTGAAAGTCTGTTTCATCTTCCTCATTACAGTTCCTTCATCAGTTGTGTGCTTCATCAGCGCAATGGCTTCAGAACACAAGCTGTCTGTCAAAAGGCAGTCTTCTTCTCTCAAACAGTCTCTGTCAGTTGTTGGTCCCCCTAAAAAAACATTATATGAATGGGACACTCGATCTTAGGATTTAATAAATAAGGCTTGGGAACCTATTGTGCAGTTTGGTTGTAGGATAAAATTTGTACAAGTATAAATACACATACCTGTTTGGGTTTGTGACAGTCTGGGGACCTTCTTTTGTCCATTAGAAGCTTCCCTCTGGACAAACTTCAGTCTCCAAGCCAGATACCCACTCCCATCTTCTGCATTGTAATAATGCTCCTAAAAGTAGGTGAATGATAAATGTTTTTAAAGCTGCGAAAGTAAAGACAACCGTGAATGATAGTAGCTATGATTTACAGATTTTAGTTCCCATTGTTTGAATTACATAAATAAAATCTCTTCACAATGTTTATTCTTCAAGCTGCAGTAGGTCAACACTGGAACAATAAACTCTACAAAAGTTTTAAAATTGGAAAGTTAAAAACAAGTGGCACAGATGCAGGGGATGCAACAGAGAAACATTTTCAGTTCTACTCAAACCATAGCCAACAAGTTGGACTTCTGTTTTGAACTTACATAGCCAAATCTGCTCTTAGGATCAGCCAGGTAAGGGAACAAGGTAATAATACCCTTTGCATAGTCCTCTTTGATACGTCTGGAGGGACTTGTCCTATATTGACACAGAAAAAACTCTGAGCATTGTTAAAGGTGTAAAGAACACCTTCAACAAAAGTAATTGTGAGAGGTGCATAGAAAAAAAAATTATTATTTCAGCATACCCATGTTCACTTGTCATATGTGCAACCAATATCTTGACCATTTCACGCCGTCTGGTGTCGGTTAGGCTTTTTGTCCGCGCATATTCATTGACGATCCTGTCTCCTCCTGGTTTGTTCTTTAGAACATTTTCAATCATCTAAAGTGATGGTAAAAATATAAATCGATACGTTGCAAAAACACTGTACACAAGACAATTACAAATCC